AAGAGCATGACATTTGGAGGCAGAAGACTTAGTTTCAAATCCCTGCTCCTTCACTTACTAATTTTGTGGTTTGGGTAAGTAACTTTGTCTAGTTTTTTTCTTTTGTGAAGTTCCAATAGTTAATTCCTGCCATTCCAAACCCATAGAATGTACAACACCAAGAGTGAACTTTAAGGTAAACTATAGGCTTTGGGTGATTATGGTGTGTTAATGTAGGTTCATCCTTGGCAAACTGTACCATTCTAGAGAGTGATGTTGATAATGGGAGGGCTATGCATGTGTTGGGGCAGAGGGTATGTGGGAAATCTCTGGACCTGCCTCTGGGTTTTGTTGTAAACCTAAAACTGCTTTAAGAAAATAAACTCTTTAAAAAAATAAAATGTTGGGGCCAGCCCAGTGGTGCACCAGTTAAGTTTGCACGTTCTGCTTTGGTGGCCCGGGGTTCGCCCATTCAGATCCCAGGTGGGGACCTACTCCCCGCTTGTCAAGCCACACTGTGTCAGTCATCCCACATATAAAGTAGAGGAAGATAGGTATGGATGTTAGCTCAAGGCCAGTCTTCCTCAGCAAAAAAGAGGAGGATTGGCATCAGATGTTAGCTCAGGGCTAATTTTCCTCAAAAAAAATAAATAAATAAAACATTAATCCCTGCCTTACCCACCTGCTTCTTTAAGATATTAGGAGAATCAAGTAGAATAATTTACATGAAAGCACTTTGTAATGTAAAATAGTATACAAGTGTTAGTACTTATGAATTTATAATTACTAGTAATGGAATAAAGCAGAGTTGGATAATATTTTAAATAATTTGATAATTAGTTTATACAGTCTAGGCATGAACAACTTTTTGCAAGTTTGTTCAAAGTAATACTGTACAATGTAACAAATGTAAAAGATACCATATTGAAATTTTCCCCATTCTGATCCCTGCTCAGCTAATTCATTCAACAAATTTTACTTTGCCTTCTGTTTGGCAATTGTAGTTCATCTGCTATTCTACAATTATAGTAGTAAAGTTAGTATAGTAACAATGTTTATACTAGCATTCTTCCTCACATGCAATGTAAATCTAAATGTATTATTCATTCTTTTTCATTCTGTTCTTGTGTCAAATTAAAAATAAAAAGAACAGAAACTCAAAACTCACAAGCCATAGATAAGAAAAATAATTTATAAAGGGCAAAACTATTAAATATTTATCAATTATAACTCCACTGCTTTTTCTTCCACCTGAGAAAATCCATGGGAATGAAAGCGAATGAGAATGAACAACTATAGGGATAGTATTGAATTTGTTCTAATTTCTTTAAGTAATCATTCATAAACTTTGTTACTTTAACATTAATAGTAGTGAATCACTTATGATGCATCTTATAGCTCCTTTCAAAACATGAGTGTGATGAACCGGGTATACAGGAATTGCTGCTGTAGAAGAACTACTCTGTTCCTGGAATAAACCTTCCCTGTATATGTGATTAGTAGTCATGCTTTGACTCCATAGAAGCTGCCAGGATAACATGCAGATTTCAAGGAAAATTAATGTATGCAATATGTAGCTGTAATCTATGCATAGGAACTTCTGCAAGAGATGAGGAAAGAGGATAGTGCTAGAAATATATCTTAAATTGAATATTTTCTGTCAACAGAATGAACGGAGAGGAAAAATAAGCAGATACTGTCAATTCTGTCAATTTTAAAACAAGATAAGCCCCAAAATGAAGTTGACTATTATTACATATAATATTTTAGATAACATTGCTGTGTCTCCATCTCTTAAGTTTGGACTATGAAATCAAGTTCCTTAATCAGATGTTCCTGTATCACGTGTCAATGACAATCCTTTAAAAAATAAGGAAACATTACTTTCTAACTGTTAAAATGTGAAATCTACCTTTGCCGTTTTTGCTTTTACTGTCATGCACCGTATAACGACATTTTGGTCAACGACAGACCACGTATGCAACAGTAGTCCCATAAGATTAGTACCATATAGCCTAGGTGTGTAGGCTATACTATCTAGGTTTGTGAAAGTACACTCTGTGATGTTGGTACAACAATGAAATCACCTAATGACACATTTCCCAGAATGTATTTCTGTCATTAAGTGATGCATGGTTATACTTGTGTTTCATGGCACTGCTCGGATATATCTAATTGCTTTGAAGAAATCATGAATACCTTCATGGGACCTCTGGTTTTTTGTTTTCTTATGAGAGTATAGTACATCGATAGAAAGATTGCCAATTTTAAGGAACTGTAGAGGAACCTCTCTACAATGTGAACAAGGTACTTGGTAGGGGGAGTAGTCCGGATGGCATGACCACATATACTCTACCAACGTACTAAGATATTTTATTTGTTTTGTTATTTTGATGAACAGTAGAATGATGTGGTGGATTTTTCTAATATGAGACTTAAAAAATTGGAAAGTAAGGAATAAAACAGGTGGAGGAAAATGGTTCCTGGAAGTTACTTCTTTCATACCTTTACCTGAGACAGTCTAAACAGTTCATTATCAAATGATTTTGTTACAGTGACTGTTACGTGGTTAGGGAGTACAAAAAGTCAAGTTAGTATTTAAATTAAAAGAGTACTGTGTTCCAAATGTAGTATGTGAAGCCCTCATCAAGAAGTTTTATTTAGGAGAGAAAATTTACACATGAAGTATTTTTTAATTTAAATTATATTTATTTATTTATTTATTTTTCTGCTTTATCTCCCCAAACTCCCCCGTACATAGTTGTATATCTTAGTTGCAGGGAAATTATATTTATTTTTTGACTAAGTACTAGAGTCACATGGTACAACATTGGAAAGGTGCAAAGAGTGTATGGTAGAGAGTCTCCCTACCACTCTGGTGTCTCAAACACCCAGTGACAGCCAGTATCTGAATTTTTATCCTTCTGGAGGTATTTTATGAATATATAACGAAATTAGTGTATGTTTTCTTTTTCGTTGTTGTTTTTGCCCACAAATAGCAAATGATACTCTTCTGTACCTTAGCAGTGTATTTTAGATATCATTACATATCTGTACATATAGAGCTTCCTCATTTTTTTTTGGTGGCTACTTGTATACTGTATTTGGATATGCCATAATTTAACTATCCTCTATTCACAAACATTTAGGTTGCTTCAGCCTTTTACTATTAAAAACAAAGTTGTAGTGAGTAACCTTGTACATGTGTTGTTTTGCTCATATCTATAGGATAAAATACTGGAAATAAAATCATTAGATTTAAACATATGTATATTTTAATTTTGAGTGATAGTGCAAAACTGGCCATTCACCTTATCTGGATAGGGTTTTGTTGGTTTTTAATTGAAATCTAATTTACGCAAAATGAAATTCACAATTTTATGTGTACAATTTGTTGGGAAGGTTATGTCAGTTTACACTATAACCTGCAGTAGATGAGATTGCCTTTATGTCATAGTCTCACAACACTGTGTTGATAACTCTAGTTTTTATATTTCTGCTGGTACTAGAGGTGAGAAGGATATTGGGATAGTTTTTGTTTTGTTTGCTTGTTTACTATGTACAACTTACATACAATAAAGTCCACAGATCGTAAATGTACAGCTTAGTGAATTTTTACTACTATCCAGATCAAGATATAGAAATGTCCAGCATCCCAGAATGCTCTCTTTTGTCCTCTTCTCCCCCGAGAAAGATAACCACTATTCTGACCTCTCTTACCACAGGTCGTTTTTCTGTTTTTGAACTTCATATAAAGGGAATCATGTAGAATATACTTTTTTATATCTGGTTTCTTTCTTCTCTATCATATGTGAGATTCAGTCGCGTTGTTGTGAGTACCTGTAATTTATTCTTTTTATTGCTGTGATTCAACTACTTGAATATACCACAATTTATCTGTTCTGCTGTTTATGAATTTTTGGTTCCTTCTACTTTTCAGCTTCTATGAATAAAATTTCCATGAACACTCTTGTACATGTCTTTTGGAGGAGTTAAGCACTCATTTATTTTGGCTATACCCCCTGTCTGGGTAGGTTTTGTTTGTTTTTTATTGTGGTCTGATTTATAAACAATAAAATTCACCAATTTTTAGTGTACAATTTTTTAGGAAACAATTCCCTGTGGGTCTCTTGCACTTCTGCATGTCTTATGAACAAAAGCCCTTACTGCATTTTTTCAGACTATCTTTTCAAGGATATTAGAAGATAGAAATGGTGTCTCTCCATAGAGCAAAGGCAGGCTTGCTTATAGCCTTGGAAAATAGAGGTAATGGCTCCTTCCCGAATAAAGTATAAGTCTTCATGTGGGCACATATTTTTATTTCTCTTGGGTGTATTCTTAGGAGTGGAAATGCCGAGCCTTATGATGTGCTTTTAACTTGGTAAAGAACTGCCATATTGTTTTCCAGCGTATTTGTATCATCTTGCATTCCTATCTGGGTAATTTTAATTTGCATCTCTTATTATGAGTGAGGTTGAAAGTATCATTTCATATGTTTGAGTTACTTGTATTTCCTTTTCTATAAATTGTCTATTCAACTCATCTGGCCTGTTTTTCTACTAGATGTTGGAATTTTTTAGTGATTTATAGGCATTTTTCATATATTAGGGGATATTTTGGTCATACTATGAATTGCAAACTTTTTTCCATTGTCTCAAGTATCTTTTGAGGTTGCTTATGTTGGGTTTTGCCATGCAGAAATTTGTTTCTCTGAAGTTCTCAGTCTCAGAGTACTTATTAATAGTGCAAGACTTCACATAATAAAGAAACAGAATTGCTCTTTTAATTGTTCTTAAAGTATAAGTTATGTTTTCCAGCAATATTTTACATAGCATTAATTTCAGGAGGAATAAAGAACAATATTCTGAAGACTTAGACTTGTTTTCTGCATTCTCATAAGAATTTTACCACCTTTTAGAAAACAGCTACACAATGGAAACAAGAGAGTTTTAGAAATTGTGTCTTAACTTATTATGTGTAATGAGGAAAAATATTAAAAATAATATTACATGTCTTTACAGAAATATCTGTGCAAGATGTTGACGTTGCAAACTTGGATAGTGCAAGCCTTGTTTGTTTTCCTCACCACTGAATCTATAGGTAAGATTTATGAAATACCCCACCTCCCAACCCCACAGATTAGGTTTATGTATTTTTATATAATTATGTAGTTAAGTTTATGCTTAATAATTATGCTTATATATTTATTCTTTCTAGGATCATTATTGAGAGAATAGTGTTGTTTTAAAAATTATTTTAAGCAGTAAAAATACTCTTGTTAAATTATAATTTGTATAATTTGAGTTGAAACACTCAGTCACTCAGTAATCCTAAATGCTACTTAACTATACTAACAGAATTTTAAGGTAGGGAAGGAAGAAAATATATAGCTTTTTTCTTTAAATAAAGAAATAGAAAATCTTTTAACACTTTGCTCCTTAATGATCAAGGGTGTCACTGGAGCAGCAGGGTGATTGTGATACCAAAATAAAAAGGTCACTTAGAGCAGTACTGCTTAAACTGGTCCACAGCCTGATGTCTGCCTGACTACAGGCTATTACTGGTCCACAGTGAGATAAGTACAGAAATTAACATAAATGTCTAGAAACTCTCTTGAACAATTTGACATAGCTGTAACATTCAAGCATGTGATCAGTGGACTTGTCTCATGGAACATAGTGTAGAACAAAAGTGCAAGTTTGCAAAGGATTGGGAAAAAATAATACCAAACCAATCCTTCACCACAGATAGTTAGAGAAGCTCTAAATCAACTCCTCTCCAAATCCAAGAATGCAACTTCTTTTGGAACACTTCAAGTGACAGAAAGCTTACATTGAAAATCTTTTTTATTTAGAAAGTCTTTCCTTATTCTTGAACCCAGATTTTCTTCCTTTAATTTTTTTTCCATTGATCCTATTTCTAGGATTAATCCTAGTTCTGGTTCTCTTCCCACTGCTCAATTCTTCAAGCATTGAAGGACTGCTTTCATGTGTCTCTAAGCCCTCTCTTCCCCGAACTAAACTTACCCAGTTATCCTAATCATTGTTTATGGGACTTGGCTTCCAACCCTGTACGTAGTGATTACCCTCCTGATTGTGCTCTTGGTTGTCCATGTCACATTTAAAATATAATACCATTCTACTTCTCCCACTTACCAGCTGTAGGACTTTGGCCGGTCACTTAGTCTGTGCCTCAGTTTCCTGGTCTATAAGATAGGGATAATAATGGTTCCTACTTTCTAGGGTTATTGTGAGGATGAAATGAATTAGTATACATTACAAGATACAGAAGGCGTTTGGACAGTGCCTGGCCCACACTAAGCATTATAAAAATGGTAGTAACTATATATTTATTACGAAGGTTTGAATAAAATGCATTTAAGAAAAAAAAGTAATGTAACAGAATTAGGGCATGGTCTGAATGTAGTGACTTTAGTACTTACTTTGATCTGAACATCATTTTTATTAAAGCAACATAGTTTTTTACCAGCTGAGATAAACCATAGTTTTCTATTAAGCTATCAGTCAGTGAAAATTCTCAGGTTGTTTTCAGATGAATTACTTTTAAACCATTTCCCCTCTACCCTATGTTTTTTTCTTATCAACCTAAATAGATATTTTCCTCTCTGGCAGAGTTCATTTTATTACTTTTAGGCTATCTGTGTAATCTTTTAACATAATTTTGAATCCTAACATTGTCATCCAAATTGTTGGCATTCCTTCATAGTCTTGTCCTTTGCTAATTTGGTAAGTGTGTGTGTGTCTCTTGCTCTGTTTTCCCCGAAGTTGTTGATAAAAACGTTGAAAATAAAAGGACTACATTATCTGTTGCTGCCTCACAAAACTTCATGGCTTAAAATGTTATTATTTCTCATGGTTTCTGTGGGTCAGGAATACCAACAGCACAGCTGAACTGGTTCATCTGTGCTCTGTGATGTCTGGGGCCTCAGCTGGAGTATTCAAAGACTCGGGGCTGGAATCATCTGAATGCTCATTCACTTCTCTGTCTAGTGTTGATGCTGGCTGTGTAGGCTAAGGGCTTTGCTGAGGCTGTTGGCCAGAACTCCACACCTGGTCTCTCCATGTGGCCATGACTTCCTTACAACATGTGGCTGGGTTCCGAGGGCAAATGCCCCAAAACAAAAAGAAAGCTAGTCGGAAGTTGTATTCTTTTATTGATCTAGCCTTGGAAGTCCCGTAGCATGCTCCATTGGCTGAGGTGGACATAAGCACCCACACAGATCTAAGGCAGGAGGAGAATTGAGACTCCATTTCTTTGTGGAAGGATTATCAGTCACATTGTAAGAAGAGCCTGTGGGATGGGATATATAGGTGTAACCGTCTTGGGACCATGGGAAAATACAGTCTGCCCCAAGGACTGAGGTAGGCACTTCAGCATACTCTACTCAAGACCTTCCTCTCATTGCCTTGTTTCTAACTCAATACTTTTTGTATATGAGTAATCAACCAGTTAAAAATCTCTTAGTTTGCACTTATGCAATTTCTGTTTTTGTAGATCAGGAACAACCAAGTATCAACAGTTTCATAATGCTCATTCTAATATTTGTTACAGTATATTCTAATGCACATTTCTTCATCTTCTCCACATGAATACCCCAATTAACTTTATCAAATACCTTTTTTAAAATTAAAATTCTCTCTTTCTACAATTTAATCTCAAATAGCCTGGTAGCCCTATAAAAATAGGATTAATTTGGCATGGGATGGTCTTATTTTTTAATTTTTAAAATTTTTTTAAAGATTGGCATCTGAGCTAACATCTGTTGCCAATCTTTTTTTTCCCCTCCTTCTTCTCCCCAAAGCCCCCCAGTACATAATTGTGAGTGCCTCTGGTTGTGCTATGTGGGCTGGCACCACAGCATGACTTGATGAGCAGTGCCATGTCCATGCCCAGGATATGAACCGGCAAAACCCCTGGCCACCAAAGTGGAGCGCGTGAATATAACTGTTCAGCCATGGGGCTAGCCGCACATGAGATGGTTTTAACGAGCCTGTGTTTCACTTTGACAACTGGAACATTTGCCCATTTCTAGTATTTCTCTTATTCTATGTGATTAAAAATTATTAATATTGCGTCTCTGGATATAGCTCATGTTCTTTAATACTCTAAAGTATATTTTCTATTTACTGTTCCCTATAATTATTTTAGAGAAGGCAAAACAGGAATAATTTTACGAAGGAATAATAAAGTGAGGTCTAGGAAGTTTTAAGGACTAATATAGTCACAGGGTAACTTAATACTCCGCAAGATGAAGTTCTATACAATTGAAAATTTAGAGTAATATGTGCACTGGGACTACAGTAGACATGTGTAAATAATGGCAAGGTCATGTAAACAGGCCTATTATAAGTTTTGAAACAAAGAAATACATATTCTGACTCTGGGTCTTGAAATACGCTTTGAGAGGTCCCAGGATTCCATTGAAGATTCCATTGATGGTAATAGGTAGCTATTAAATAATTTAAAATAGGGAAATGGGATAAACAGAATTTTGAACAGTAACTTTTGCAGCAGTATGTAGGATAAACTGGAAGGAGGTCAGACTCGTATAATATGGTGGCCTGAGCTTCAGCAGTCAAATAGGATTGGTGAGAAGAGGTTAATACACATATTAGGAATATAGAACCAGCAAGACTCAGTGCAGTGTTATTAAGTTGGAGGTAGGAGGATGCTAATTAGAGATGTTGAAGATGACTACAAAGTATCTGGCCTAGGGAATGGTGCTGTTAGCAGAGGTAGAGAAATAAGAAATAATAAGAAATAAGATAGAATAAATTTGAAAGTGACTGTGATGCATACAGTTTTAGACGTGTTCATTTTAAACAGTAACATGTTCATTTTAAAGTACCTACAGAATATCTCAGGTGGCTATGTCTCAAAAGCTATTGAAAACATAGGAAGGTAGAACTAGAGATAGGGATTTGAATGTCATCAACATGGAGTAGGTGATAGTTAAAGCATATAGTTGTGGGTTTTTTTAAAAACAGTCTGATTCTTTGTTTTTTGATATGGGATTTTATCCCATACAACTTATTGTAAAAACGAATGTATTTGGTCATCTTGTTTTATTCATTTTGTTTTTTATTGCTCCTTTGCTGTTTCCTTTGTTATCTGAGTTTTGATGTATGAGTGATGTATGCTATCTCTCCGTGCCCCCATCTGCACTCCCAGCAGCATTCAGGACTGGAGAGGAGCAGAGACTACCACTGCCTGTTTTCTGGAAGGTTTAATTTAGATCTCGGGTTTGAGTTGAGGAACAGGGTTGATGGTGGAGCAAGTATGAATCATGCTGCAGGCAGCCTGTATTTTCTAAAGCAAAGTTAGAATATAAAAGGGGCCGAAGCTTACATAGGGTTTTTTTAATCCACCTCCATCTGCCTTATAATTTGTGTATTTCTTTACAAACTTAGGCATTAAATTATGAATATATTAATTTTCACTGTGTTTCTTTTTCTGTGTCTTTAGAAATATTTTAGTGAAGATTGAGGGATTGCCTTGATATAAAATATCATTTTGTACCAGAAAAATTCAATTCATTTTTATCTTTTCTATTTTTCTTTTTCAGGTGGACTTCTAGATCCATGTGGGTATATCAACCCTGAATCTCCAGTTGTACAACTTGGTTCTAATTTCACTGCAGTTTGTGTGCTAAAGGAAAAATGTATGGATTATTTCCATGTAAATGCTAATTACATTTTCTGGAAAACAAACCATGTTACTGTTCCTAAAGAACAATATACTGTCATAAACAGAACAGCATCTAGTGTCACATTTACAAATATATCTTTATTGAATATTCAACTCACTTGCAACATTCGTACGTTTGGACAGATTGATCAGAATGTTTATGGAATCAGAATAATTTCAGGCTGTAAGTTTTGTTTTGTTTTTGTCTTATTACAGATTTTGTGATGACTGTTGAATTACATTTTTAATGTCTGTTGGTCTCTGTGAAATGCAGTAACTTGTAGGCTCAGTGACTTTTATACATATATATTTTTAAAAAATAAGTTCAGAAGTGGAACTGCGTTTGTATTACTAATATATGAAAAGCGTAAAGAGTAACGCGTTTTATATCTTTACTGAAAGTCAAGCATCTGTCAGTATTCTAGAAAAATATTTTGATGTGAGACTTCCAGAAAAGTTTTGTCCAATTAAAATCTGTGAATGTATTCACAGTAACTTTCAGTATCCTTTAATTACTGAGAAAATGCACATATAAAACAGCTACCTGAAGAAATGAGTAAGTACTAGAGAAAGTCCTTCTTCTTTGTCCAAGTAAATAAGTAACAGTGATCCAGGAGTGAATTATCAAATTTGTGGATCATCCGAAACTGCAGTTTTGGCGTTTGCTTTTCCTTCGGTAGAGTTTGGGAAGGCAATAGGAAGAGAAATAAAAGGAATCATTTTTGCTTCTATTTAATTGCCTCTTCGTAACATGCAAATATTACTTTTTAAAATATACTTAATAGAGAAATCATGTGATCCAGTCATAAATGAAAGTTGAGTTTATATAGAAAATTAATTTGATACATATTATTTAATGACAATTATGATAGAAAATGTATATTACTATCTGAAAAGTTTGAGTTTAAATAGAAAAGAAATTAATTTTTTACTCACCAATCTTTCATTATGTCCACAGTTTTTGCTTGGGTTTCTTTTTCTAATTTAGGTTGTAAATGTCTTGGGTAGTATTAAATTACATGTTATTTGTGGATATAAAACTTTTTGAAAATTGCTAATTTTTCCCTTTTAGTGCCTCCAGAAAAACCTAAAAATTTGAATTGCATTGTGAATGAAGGAAAGAAAATGATGTGTCAGTGGGCTCCTGGAAGGGAAACGTACCTGGAAACAAACTTCACTTTAAAATCTGAATGGCAAGTTATTTTAAGTTTGTTGTATGTTGAATTTATTAAGTTAATCATTTGTGCTGGAATTTTTATCTCAGTAAGTAGTAATATTAAATGGAAATTTTTCACCATTTTATTTAACCTTTTATAACATCTGAAAGATATAAAAGTAGAAAGAATAGTACAGTAAATCCCCATTTGCCCATCATCCAGTTTCAATAATGATCAGCTTATGACCAGTCTTACTTTATATATACCCCACCCCAGATTGTCTTAGAAAATCAGATATTGTATCATCTCATCCATAAATATTTTAGTACATATCTCCAAAAGAAAAGGACACTTTTCTAAAAAACGTAACTACATCCTATTATTACACCCAAATATACAGTCTCGCACCATGTAACAGCCTTTTGGTCAACGACACACCGCATATGCGACAGTGGCCCCGTAAGATTAGTACCATATAGTCTAGGTGCATAGTAGGCTATACCATCTAGGTTTATGTAAGTACACTCTGATGTTCGCAGAACAACAAAGTTGCCTAATGACGCATTTATCAGAACATTTCCTTATCGTTAAATGACGCATGACTATAACTGAAAATACTCTAACGTTGTGACATTTTTAGTTAGCGTTCAAATTTCCCCAGTTGACATGTCTTGTAAGTCTCCCTTAACCATAGGTTCTACCTGCTTTTCTCTTCTTTCTTTTTCTCTGCAAGTGAGTTGTTAAAATAATGATTATACATTGTTTAACATATTCCTCTGTCCCTTTATTTCCTAAATATTGCTATTAGATCTAGACACTTGATCAGATTTGGGTTTGATTTTTTTTTTTCCCCAACAATAATCCATAGGAGTGATGTGTACCTCCATCAGGAACCACTGTATAATATTTGACTGTTTCTTTTTCTGATACTAAGATTAAGCAGTGGTTTCAGGTGTTGTCAGCCTATCCCCTCATTATAAAATTCCCCGTTAGTTTTTTTCAAACATAAAGAAAAGTTGAAAGAATTGTACAGTGATTACTTGTACATACCCATCACCTAGACTCCACAGTTAACATTTTACTTTATTTGCTTTATCACATACCTATTTATGTGCGCATCCTTCTCTCCATTTATCAATCCATCTCTTTATTTTTTTATCATTTCAAAGTGAGTTGTAGACATTAGTGTGTACTTCACCCTTGAACACTTCAAAATTTACATCATTAATTAGATGTAATTAACTAGATGTTTATAGGTATGTTTTTGTTTTTAGGTAAAATTTATATATATCTTAAAATATACTTAGGTATCTTAAATCTATTATTCAGTGAGTTTTGACTAGTGCATATACCTGTGTAACTCAAACTGCTGTCAAGATATAGAATGTTATTAACGCTCGCAGAAAGTTCACTGATGCCCATTCCCAGTTAATCCCAGCCACTACCATATCCCACCCCATCCCACAAGGCAACCACTTGTCTGATTTTTCTTCACTATAGATTTTTGTGTGTTCCAGAATATCATATAAATGGAATCATACAGTATCTCCTCTTTTGTGAAAGGTGTTTGTGACTCAGCAGAATGTTTCTGGGATTTAACCATGTTGCTTCCCCTTAGTTTCTCACTTTACGATTTGAGCAGTCATCAGTGATCATTATTTGTATATGAAGTACAAAACAGTAGTATTCTGTCTTTTTTTTAACCTGGAAAACTTCACTTTGTCAACTGTTGCTTAACCTGAGGTACAGTTCATATAAGAGAAGCAAAATTGTATTAATATTTTCCCTTTATAATTAAACAATTTTTAGTTGATTGGTTCCCTAGTGTCCTCCAAAGGTAGATAATGAGGGGTTTTTCCTCTCATTATGAATTCTTATTTAAACACATTTGATATATTATGGTTATTATTCTTCTTGATATTTAAACTGTTCTATCTTTGGTTAGTGGGAACTTATTTGGATTGGCTTGTCCTTTTTTTTTTTTTGATTTTATTTTTTTCCTTTTTGTCCCCAAAGCCCCCTGTACATAGTTGTATATTCTTCGTTGTGGGTCCTTCTAGTTGTGGCATGTGGGACGCTGCCTCAGCGTGGTTTGATGAGCAGTGCCATGTCCGCGCCCAGGCTTCGAACCAATATGAAACACTGGGCTGCCTGCAGCGGAGCGCACGAACTCAACCACTCGGCCACAGGGCCAGGCCACAGGGCCAGCCCCCGGATTGGCTTGTCCTTTTGATACAACTTCATTACTCTTTGTTAGCTTCCTTGATTTCTGATATGACATGATTTTGTAGGTTCTTCTTAATATATTTCCTGCCCCAGACCTATCTAGTGCTAGCGGAACTCCTTGCTCCGTGTTTGTTGTTGTTTCTGGCCCTTTTCAGTGGAAGGAGCTAAGAAATATTTTTAAGGTAAAATACATCATGAAATTATACTGATAGTTCCAATTTAAAATCCACGCTATGGGTGTTTACTTAATTTCATCTAACGTCTACATCTTCTGTCTTCTGTGCTGAAAACCTTCATTTCCAGCAACACCACCATATTTATTTGCTTTATCCCACAATAAACACAACTGCAGAATAACAATGCCAATATTAGGACCAACAATATGATTACTAAAAAGAATTCTGTGGCAGGATCCCACATGCAAAGAATGGAGGAGGATTGGCACAAGTGTTGGCTCAGGGACAATCTTCCTCAAGCAAAAAGAGGAAGATTGGCAACAGATATTAGCTCAGGGCCAGTCTTCCTCACCAAAAAAATTAAATAAAAAATTAATTTAAAAAAAAACAAATTTTAAGATTTTTTTTTTTTTAAAGTTTGGCACCTGAGCTAACAACTATGGTGAATCTTTTCTTTTTCTTCTTCTTCTTCTTCTTCTTCTCCCCAAAGTACCCCAGTACATAGTTGTATATTCTAGTTTTGAGTGCCTCTGGTTGTGCCACGTGGGCTGCCACCTCAGCATGGCCTAATGAATGGTGCCCTGTCCGTGCCTAGGATCTGAACTGGCAAAACCCTGGGCTGCCGAAGCGGAGCGTGCAAGCTGAACCACTCAGCCACAGGGCTGACCCCTAAGATTGTTTTTAAAGTTACTTGAAATAGTTCCTTTCTATGTTTTATACCACCAACTCAATACAAGAGTTCATATGTTTCATTTTGCTTTTTATTTTTAGGAATTTTCTTAATTACATCAAATAATAAATTAATACAAAAAGTCAAATTTATAAAACAAAGTATATTCACAGAAGTTTCAGTTCCCTGTCTCCTATACCTTATTCCCTCTCTCCCCCTAGAGGGTACTTGTTTCGCTTTTGATTTGTCCTTTTATTTCAAAAAATAGTGTGTTATAGATGAATATTCTTAAGTGATGCATACTTTGAATATATATGAGTAAATAAAGTAATATCACTTGAAACTTTCTATGGTGATCAAAATCAAAAAGTGGTTGCCTGGGTTTGACTGGAAAGAGGCTGAGGGAATTTTTTGAGGTGATAGAAATTCTTGTCCCTATCCTCCTCTCACCTCCTAGCATATTGCCCTTAGAAAAAGCATACTGTGCCTGAAGAAAGACATTGCTGGTACAGTAGGATTCTCTTTCAGGAAAGGAAAGAAACAGTACTAAGATCACAGGAATTAGATCATTTTTGGAGAAGGGTCAATGGAAATAGAGCGTAACATTCTAAATGTAATATTTTTGGACTGAAAATTTGAAAATAATTTTGTGTTTTAAGATATAGATCAAACTCAGTTTTAAAGGAAAATGGGTTACTTTTTAAGAAATTTTTATTTGTTTTTACTTTTTAAGAAATTTGTTATTTGTTTGTAGTGATCACACTTTATTCTAAATTTAAGGGAGTTAAGTTATTTATTCCAAGCTGTGTTTATTCCAATCTGGGTCTCATCAAATCTTTTCAAGTAGCCTTTTTCCTCTGATTTTTTCAAATCTATTTTTAGTGAGTGATTCCTCCTTTTTTGCATTTAGGGCAACAGAGAAATTTGATGATTGTGAAGCAAAACGTGATACCCCCACCTCATGCACTGTTGATTATTCTCCTGTGTATTTTGTCAACATTGAAGTCTGGGTAGAAGCAGAGAACGCCCTTGGGAAGGTTACATCAGATCATATCAATTTTGATCCTATAGATAAAGGTAATTATAAACCTGAATTTGAGAATTTATTAGAATATACAGTGGTTTACAAATTAAAGTAGTTTTTAGATTTTAGTTAATGTAGAAACAAGCATTTTATTATCGTAGTGACTTTTACAAATTCATTTTATCAACAACATTAAAAATAATTTGGAAAAAGAAAAATATGTATAATCCCACCACACTCACAGCTGTTTTCACTTTGCATATTCTGGTATTTGTCCAATTATCAAACATTTTACAGCATTGTAATCATAGTATACATGTTCCTTTTTTTATTCTTTTTTAAATTTTATATGTCATAAATATTTAATTATCTTTTGATATCTGAACCTGAAAAGATTAACAAATGTAATAAAGTGACAAGGAAAACTAAAGTTTCTCTAGAAACCTTTCTTTCCATTATAATACTATGGCATAGCATTGTTTTAGAGAGTTTCGTTCACTTTCTAAGAATAAATTAATATTGTGAAATTAAAAAAAATATGAAGAGTGTATTTGAGTTTGTATAAGAAGTTGTGACAGTAAAACATGATAAACATTGGAATTTATTTTATTCTTCAGTGAAGCCCAATCCACCACATAATTTATCAGTCAGCAACTCAGAGGAACTGTCTAGTATCTTAAAATTGACATGGATCGACTCAAGTATTAAGACTTTTATCAGACTGAAATACAACATTCAATATAGGACCAAAGATGCTTCAACTTGGAGCCAGGTAAATTGAGAGTTACTGTTTATTCAAGTAGTCTTTCTTGCAACCCTCTAACCTAAAAGTCCCAGTAATTTTCTGAATGTCTTAAGTTTCTGGTTATGTGAAATATTTTACTTGACACCTCTTTCAGATCTGTGTTCAAGCTAGGGCAGACAGACATCCAGATAGAAAATACAGTTTTCCTGAATATAGTAGCTTTTAAGTGAAGCTATGGAAGTGATGCAGAGTGATGGGGAATAGCATTTTTAATGGGAGGCAAAAGGAACACAAATAAAAGCAAATTAAGTGAAGGAGTAAAAATGAAGAGATTACATGGATGAGGTAGAGCAGAAGTTGGCAAACTATGTCTGCAGGCCACATTCAGCTTGCCACCTGTTTTTGTAAGTAAAGTTTTATTGGATCACAGCCACACACGTATTGTCTCTAGATATTTTTGTGCTACAGTGAAAGAGTCAAGTATTTGCAACAGAGACTATCTGGCCCATAGCCTAAAATATTTGCTATCTAGCCCTTTATAGAAAGTTCACCAACCCCTGAGGTCGAGAATGGGGTTGATGGGGAACTTGTAAGACTGAAAAGGAAAAGAACAATGTAACCAAAGATGATACTGTCAGCAAAAGGAATACTTGCAGATTTTTAAAAGGCTATCACCATAACATTGAACTCCCCTTAATATTCTTTCTTATAACTTTATTTATTACTAACAGTGTGCTTTTGGTTTGTTTCTCTGGTTGCAATAATGAGCTTATAAGGGAATGGAGCCCATGACCTTACTACTTCTGTCCTCCATTCCACTAATCTAAAAGGCTCAGAATACAATCAGAAAAAAAAACAAACCAAAATGGATTAATGCTTCGTGTTGTACACAGAGGATACTATACCTGAAGTTCTTCAAAATATTTTTTAATATCATAGCATCTTAGTTCATTGATACAAAAGTGACTGACACCTATTTTGTTATCCAATATTGAAATCCCAGAGTAATAGAAAGGACCAATTATTTATCTATATTTAGTCTCCTTTTTTCCTGAATACTAAGTTTATCTACAATAATAGCTTTAGTTTTTCTTAGTTGGGCTAGATATCTTCTTTTTGCCTCTCCAGATCTTACACTCTACCCTTCTCCATCCTACTCTTTGTCTTAGGATGCTGACTTATATGGATTTCGTCTGTGGGTTCCCATTGCCTCTAGTTCCCCCTAGCAAGTTTAATGGGAGGAGGGGTCCTGGCAAGAAAGAAAAGAGGTAGAAGTGAGATCAGCGCTTTTGTTTTCCCTGCTTCCTCCGTGGAGCTGCCCCATATTTCTCAACCTAGGGTCACTGCTCCTCTCAAGTTAGTCCTAGCTGACCCCCTTCCAGGTTCTGGTCCTCCACTCATCCCGTTGGGCCTAGGAGTGGTAATAGCTACAAGCCTCAGAGCACTGACTACACTATCTAAGGTTTCCCTACATCCTGCCCCCTTTCCCTTTAGTAAACTCTCCTTGAACTAAATGCTAATGGGAGTGTACCATATTTTTCCTGCTGAGACCGTGAGTGTTATAGGCCCCATGGAAGAAAGGAAGAAAAAAAGGAAGAAAGGATTAATAATAGATGTTTTCATACTTCCCAAATCTATTAACTTTACTGATTTTGACTGCTTTTTAACTTTCATTAATCTCCAGAGCTTATTAGTCTTGTTTCGTTAAATTAGTTTCTAAAATCTTTTGCAATTTACAAGACCGATAATAAATACCTTTGGATTTATTGTTGGTCAATTTGCTTTATTTTCAGATTCCTCCTGAAGATACAGCATCCACTCGATCTTCATTCACTGTCCAGGACCTTAAGCCTTTTACAGAATATGTGTTTAGAATTCGTTGTATGAAGGCAGATGGTAAAGGATTCTGGAGTGACTGGAGTGAAGAAGCAAGTGGCATCACATATGAAGATAGTAAGTCAACAAGTATAATGAAGTAATAAAGCTAATATTGGAATTCTGGCTGTGAATTGTGTCTCATTAGTCCTCATTGCTTCTTATTTTGTGATCATTTTATCCAAACTAGTATTTTACACTTTTCTTTTTAAGGACATCAAGATATAAAATTTAATGTGCATTGTTGATAGTATAAATCTATTTGATACCTAAAAAATTATCATGGGGTGGTGTCTTAGATACCATGAGAAAACCGTTGACTTTAATGGTTGATCAGTCCAGAACATTTTTTAAAGGAGTATGCTCCAGAGATATCCCTAACTAGAGAATTATATCCTGAATCATCAAAAGCAGTCTATCTAGCAAAATATACCTTAGACCTTCACTGTCAAAAGATATTTTTACTCTATGTTTTCTTTATATTTTTCTGCTAGCACTTGATCAGCTCCTGGAAAGAGATCCTGGAGTTTTGGTTGGTTGGTTGATTTTTTTTCTTTTTATTCCATCATTATACAATGTATATAGTATAGAATCCAAAGGGCATAAAAGGGTGTATGGTCTAAAGTAAGATTCCTTCCCCAAAGCAGCTAACATTACTAATTTCTTCTATAGCCATCAAGAAATAGTCGTATGGCATATAGATTTTTTTTTTTGAACATTTTCCTATCACCGTCTCACACTTTAGGTGTCAATGGCAGCAGCTATGCTTTCAAACCTCGGCTACCACCTATATCCCTTCACTTCCAGCTCTACTAGAGGTCTAGATAATTATATGAAGTGAGAATGCCAAAGGCAGAAAAGTAAAGTCCCCTTCTCCACTGAGAATTTTCTCTCATTCTTATAAATGCCAGGAAAGAAAGCAATCCTGCTACTGCTGGTTTGGGGTCCTCAACCAGATTCCTTTATCTTGGCCAAGAATTCTCAAACTGGGATTCTTGGGGCCTTTAAAGGTACTTGGCTCAGTTTAGGGGAGTTCCTGAACTACTTTAAAATGTAGACAAAATATTGTGGTTAATGCTTGTGTACATTTTCTGAGGAGATGGTACCTAACCTTTGTGAAATCAAAGCGATATCTGGAGCCCAAAAAGTGAACCATTGGATTAAGCATTTCTTCACCTTAGTGAGTGAATCCTCCAGGTTCTCTTTATGTTAGAAAATATTTCTGGCCTATAACATTTTCTTTATAATTTCTTGTTCTTTATTTTTTTTGGGTGTACACTGTACTCACAAATATATCTGTTTGAACCCCCTGTATCGGCAAGCCTTTTCAAAACCCAGCTTTCCTGGTCTGCTTTTTCTCTTTTCTCTGTTTTGTCATCTGTATAATTGCCTCTTCATGATCAACACATCACTGCTTAGATTTTATTCAGATCCTTTTTTAATCTATTGAATACCAAATTTTTCAATTTATAAAAATTTTGAAAAATTAGTTGATCCTACAGGAATTTTAAAAATCTAATTGCTAGCATTTGATACTTTGTTTCATAAAGTGCTTTTTCATGCGGTTGGTGATTAACACAACAATCCTGTGAATTCATTTTTATTTTATCCCATTACACTGAATCATTTCAATGTAAGATAATAGACTTACACTACATTTACTTCATTTATTTTAATTTGTTTTAGGTTCTTACATATATACATTTGGGGGTTTTAATCATGTATTTAAATATGATTTCAGTTTGATTTTTTGCAATAAGTAATAGTGATACGTCTTTGGTTATTGCTTAGGATTTGTAGCTTTATAATTTTAAGCTTAGAAAAGAGTCCCAATATAATCTAAATCATCAAGCTATTACCTTGAGTAAAGGAAGACCCAGGCATATCATCCTGGGATGGGAAAATGCTGGTATGAAGAAAGAGTTAAAGACACCATGTGATTGACGGGCAAGAATGTTATAATTTCCAAGATTTTATTTTATTGTTATAATAAAAACTTTTATTTTAAAAAGCTTATGTCATTCCTTTAGGACCATCTAAGGCACCAAGTTTCTGGTATAAGATAGAACCATCCCATACTCATGGCCATAGATCTGTACGACTCATATGGAAGGTAAAAAAAAAAAAAATTACATATTTTTATTTTTTAATCTCACAAATACATTGTATATGGTATTATGAGTGGACTTTTTTTTAACTTTTTATCTAAATGTCAGCAAAGCATTTGATAACTTTTAAATAAATAGACACACTGAGCTTTATATATACTATATGGAAGTCAGAGTCATAAACTGCATGTAATAACTCATAGATAGTTCAGCACAGTTCTATGAAAGTTCTATCAGGAGAGGGCCCTTTTTTTGAACTTTCCTGAGTGCCTCATAGAAAATAATTAATAAGGGTTTTGGGTAACAAAATGTATGCCAGTAATAGGAAATATAAAGTTTTTGTGCACTCCATAGATGTGCATGAGTGGATCATACTAAAAAGTAGAGAGAAAAATACTCAGGCATAGAATAATTTGAGTCCATGTAGCCACAGTGCAGAGTTGTATACAGAACTAAAAGCTAACAGAATGTTGCTACTTTCCCTCTTAGTTGAAGTCATGCCTTTACTCTTCATTCAGTATGTAGTCGTTTTACTTTAGTAGTGAGTTCAAAATGAGGTTGCCAGCCCCTTCCAATTAAATATTTAGAGATTTGACATTAAAAGCAGAATTTGTGATCATGAAATAACTGATTAGCTTTAAGGTTCATGAGATATGTTTGTAAAATAAATTATTTTATTATAGACATTGCCTCCTTTTCAAGCCAATGGAAATATTTTGGATTATGAAGTGACTCTCACAAGATGGAAATCACGTTTACAAAATTACTCAGTTAATGACACAGAACTGACGGTAAACCTCACAAATGATCGCTATATAGCGACTTTAACAGCAAGAAATCTGGTTGGCAAATCAGATGCATCTGTTTTAACTATCCCTGCCTGTGACTTTCAAGGTTTGTGTCTGTAAGATGGAGTCTGACTTATGGATGGGAAAAGGTGGTTAGGTATGGTGAGAGCTCCCATAAAAAAGCATAAGTGTTCTAAGACTGTCTCATCAGTATCAACGATGATCATACTTTTAGAAATCAGTCAGCAGCCAAATAATCTGTTCCATCATTATGTGGCTCACTTAAACTTTTCAGTAAGCTACTTAGTTCATTTAATCATTTTATGATTACTTATCTGGTTTTTTAAATATTAAGGTTTTGTGAACTTTATATGTGTATGACTTAAGTATATTGTTTTTCTATAGCTTTATCTGTAGCTGTCAAAAAAGAAAAAGTTGCAATTTCCATGCACAAAACATTTGAAGAATTTTGGAAAAGGAAGAATTTAAGTTTCAAAATAAATTGAGTACTTTACATGTAAATTATAATGAAGTGCTTTTATTTATGCAAATACATGTTAAAATTATATGCTACCAAAACTGATAGCAAGATAGAGCACGTGGTTATGGAAATGAATGTAAAATATCAAAATTTCAAATTTTTAAATGTTCATTTTATCATATCAGTATTCAAACTTTGTTTTAAAGCTACTCACCCCGTAAAGGATCTTAAGGCATTTCCCAAAGATAACGTGCTTTGGGTAGAATGGACTGCTCCGAATGAATCTGTAAACAAATATGTACTTGAATGGTGTGTGTTATCGGATAAATTGCCCTGTAACCCAGACTGGCAACAAGAAGACGGTACTGTCCATCGCACCTATTTAAGAGGTATACCTGGCTAGAAACATTTAAGTTGGTATCCTTTTTCTAACTCTTTAGACAGATTTTTCTTTTACATATTCTTTTCTGCTTTATAGGTATTGTGGTCCATTGGAAAGACTTCCAATTTATCATTGTTACCAGTTACATCTAGTTTACTAGATGTGTGACTCTTCAGCAAGTCACACTTAATCCCTCTGAACTGCAGTCTGTTTATGGACAAGGCGGGTTAATACTTTCTTCTTTCTATACCCCAGTGTTGTTTTGATCATCAGAGGAACACTTAAACATGTAAAGTAAGAGAGAAATATTAGATAATCCATCCTCTGCTTCCAACTAGTTGTGTATTCTCTACACCTGAGTTAACGTCCTCATCTTTCAGTGAGAAAGTATTTTCCTAGAGCATCTGGGTAACTTACTGACTTCTTACAGCTGTTGAATAGGGGAAGCCGAACTAGAGCTCAGATTTTCCTATGTCTGTTAATTGTACTATGTATTTAAAAGGACTAATGAAGGATAGAAAGTAATGAGGATACAGAGCTCCAAAATGGATTGCTCTGCATTGTAAGGTACTACTTAAGTGGCTTTAAAGTGATACAACAACTTCAAAGAGAAAACAGAAACACTCAACTTGTGTGTGTTTTTTAAGTAAAGAAGGATAACCATTAGAATTCAGCTATAAATAATATGATTAATCAGAAAAAAACTCTAATCAAAGATATACATGCCATAAAGTTTGTGAGCTTTATTCATAAAATAGGCTCTTTGGTCCTCATTAACCTATTATTTAATATACTATTTATTTATTTATTTTTTGGTGAGGAAGATTGTCGCTGAGCTAACATCTGTGCCAGTCTTCCTCTATTTTGCGTTTGGGAGGCCACCATAGCATGGCTTGATGAGCGGTGGGTAGGTCCGTGCCCAGGATCTGAACCCACAAACCCCAAGCTTCTGGAGTGGAGTGCACAAACTTAACCACTACGCCACTGGGCTGGCCCCTGCTGTGCAATTTTAATAAACTTTGTTTCTAGTTTATCAACCTTATCAAATTAAAAGCATGGTGGAACTAGAGAGGAGACAGATTGGTAGTAACTGGACAATAGAAACTTTTTAAAGTATATCGTAGACTCTAGAGACCTTCAGGTTGTAGAAGTAGCCCCATATAGCTCAGTAGCCCTGATTATGTCACTGTATTACAGCAGAATATAAAAATTATTCATCTTCTCGGCATTACTGAGTCATCAAGAATAGGTAAAATTACTCTGTTTAATAAGTTAAAGGGGCATATGTAACTTCATGAATAATAGGGAAATACAAGTTCTTGTTGAAGGTATAAACTTCAGTATACAAACACCTTATTTTCTGATGTGGACAGATAAAATGCTGTATAAAAAGAACTTTACTATTGCATGCTAAAGGAATAGATGGATTACTTTGTTAATTTGGAGAGATATGGGGCTGGCCCCATGGCTGAGTGGTTAAGTTTGCACGCTTCAATACAGCGGCACAGGGTTTCGCCGGTTCAGATCCTGGGCACGGACACGGTACTGCTCATCAAGCCATGCTGAGGCAGTATCCCACATAGCTCAACCAGAAGGACCTACAACTAGAATATACGACTATGTACTGGGGGGCTTTGGGGAGAAGAAAGGAAAAAAAAAAAAAAGAAGATTGGCACTAGATGTTAGCTCAGGGCCAATCTTTAAAAAAAAAAATTGGAGAGATTATAAATACAGGAAACATTAAAAGATAATTTTTTCTTTTAAAATTATGTTACTGTCTGGGAGAAATAACACTAATTCTTTTTTTCCCAGTCACCTGAGAAACCAGGGCCATTAGTGTTTTCGCTAGCTCTTACTAGTGGCATCTTGCTCATTAGGCAGTCTTCAGCGAATTAGGTAAGATGTAGAGAAATTGTCAAACTAGAAGTAAGACCCAGGATAATTTGAGACCACTGTTTTATAAATCCTGAATAGAAATGCAATTATTACTTTTATTGACAACATAAATTTTTTTTTATCCACTGTATTGGCAATAAAAGTAACCGTTTACTTTCATAAACGGTTTTACTTTATTAAGCTTGAGTCTGGTATACGAAAAGCAATGCTTACTTAAAAAGCTGCAGTGTTAAAAGTTCAGTGGTCATGATATTATAATATAAAAATAAATACTGGAATTAAACTTTTTTGTTATAGGAAAAAAACTGCTTAATCTACTATTCTTACTTTAGGAAACCTAGCAGAGAGCAAATGTTATTTGATAAAAGTTACTCCAGTATATGCTGATGGCCCAGGAAGCCCCGAGTCTGTAAAGGCATACCTTAAACAAGCTCGTAAGTCCAAACTCACTTTATTTGAAAAATGTTGGATTTTGTATTAACAAAGGCATTTTATCATTTTTAAATAAGAATATGTCTCATTATGTTCAAATAATTTCATGATGAAATTTTACTAAGTTCTAATGATTTTCAGTTAGCAAATACCTTTATTCTGTTCTAGCGCCTTCCAAAGGACCTACTGTTCGGACAAAAAAAGTGGGGAAAAATGAAGCTGTCTTAGAGTGGGACCAACTTCCTGTTGATGTTCAGAATGGATTCATCAGAAATTATACTATATTTTATAGAACCATCATTGGAAATGAAACTGGTAATAAAACTATATCAGTTATTAAAGAATCAGATGTTTTTTTCTTAAGCTTTTAAATACTAATTTAAGTCTCACCTGCTTATGTTACACATCTCAGTATAGTCACATACCGCATGATGATATTTCTGTCAAGTACAGACCACATATATGACAGTGGTCTTGTAAGATCAGTGTCATATAGCCCAGGTGTTTAGTAGGCTGTACCACCTAGGTTTGTGTAAGTACATTCTGTGATGTTCACACAACGACGAGATCAGCTAATGATGCATTTCTCAGATTCTATCCCTGTTGTTAAGCGACAATTACTGTATGGTATATTATCCTCAAAGAAGAAACACCTGAGAATATGCATTATGGTTGTACTGTTAAAGAAATATTGTGTTGTGCTTATTGAAGAATATTGTCAGAGTATGAAAATTGTTTTCTGATGAAATATATTTTTATTCGTTTTTAAATACTTTCTCAGTGTCAAATATAAGCCAGATGAAGCAAAAACACTTGAGTAGTTGAATAAAGCACACTTACTGATTTCTTTCAGCCGTAAACGTGGATTCTTCCCACACAGAATATACACTGTCCTCTTTGACTAGTGACACTTTGTACATGGTACGAATGGCAGCATACACAGATGAAGGTGGAAAGTATGGTCCAGAATTCACATTTACCACACCAAAGTTTGGTAAGAAGTAATGACTTTTGATCTTTTTTTTTCTCTATTTCTTTTTAAAATTTAATCATGCTAATAATTGACTTAGTTTATATGCTAAAATTTTGTTAAAAGTGCATCTTTGGATTCATAGAAATGCAGTGTTAATAAATTATGATTTTTATATTGTTGTTTATCTGGTTTTGATTCTTCCTTTAAACTATAGAAAATATTTTTCCTCAACTTTTTTGTTGTTTGATTAACTGTTTCTAATTTCACCTATACTCTATAAATCCCAAAAGAGTTTTTATATCTTTCTGAATGGGTTCATTTTTTCACTGGCAAAACTTGGGTGTTGTCTCTTTCCTTCTTCCCTTGTTCCTTCCTTTTTTAGGCAGGTTGCTGGAAAGACTGCTCCACCCTTACTGTCTCCTCTTCCATACTTCCAGCTCAGTCTTTAACCTCCTGGAACCAGGCTTCCAGCCCACCAGTCCACTGAAACCTCTCTCGTACCACTCATAGAAGACCTCTTAGTTGTCATATCCAGTGCATGGTTTTTAGTATTAATCTTTTTTTCCTACACTTCTCAGTATTTGACTCTGTTGGCCTCTCCATCCTTGAAACTACCTCTTACCTTGGTTCGCTGAACTTTTCTTTGTTTTTTTAATAGCATTCTCCTGAGTCTCCTCCCTTCTGGTACTTCTTTCCTGATTTCCTTTTCCACTCTGCTTTTAAATGTTTTGTATTCTCCAGAACTCTGTTCCAGAGCTCTTTTCTTACTGCCTATTCAAACTCCCTGTCCATGACTTTATCCATCCTCTCTTTCCTTCCCAAATACATTTATCTTTCTTTGTTCCATGCCACAACCATCCAGCTCTTTGCCAAAACCAGAAATGTAAATGCAATTTCTTCATATCTTTTTCAGTTAGATAAGCCAAGGATCAAGTCCTGTTGATCGGGCCTCCTAATTACTGTTTGTCTTTGCCCTCTCATAATCCCTTTCTTTGACCCTAAGTTTCTCATCATTTTCTCCACCTTTCTCTGTCTTTTCCTAGTGTGTTGCCCTAGGTTAGCTTCTCACCGTCTTTTGTTTTGTCTGTTTCTGTAGCCTCCCTAAAGCAGACTTAAGCTGTATTCTTTCTTGTTCTTACTACATTTTGAATAATTATAGAAATTACCTTATTTTACTGTAATTGTATTTGTAGTCCCTACCCCCAAGTACCAACACAATGAATAATAAACACTAAACTCCATATTCCTTGTTGGTTGAATGATTGCTGAATGGGAGAATAAACGGATGAGTGACTACGTAAAATAGATCCTGAGCTTTGCTGTGATGGCCAATAGTGAATATAGTTTCTGGGATAAGATTTGTGGTGACATGTTAATAGAACATATATGTAACAAATAGTATTTGAAATAAAACTTTGTGCCATGATCTTTAGAAAAATAAAAATAATAAACTTTTCAATATTATCCTGATTATAAAAGTAATGTTCATTATAGGGAATTTATACAGTAAAAATACAAAGAGGAAGAAAAATCACTCCTAATCCTTCATCTAAGATAATCTCTTAACGTGTTTGTATATCCTTCTAGTTTTTTCTATGCATACATTTTTTCCAAAATTAGATCATACTTAGTAGTATTACTTCATCATCTGCTTTTTTCACTGACCTGTCTGTTTTATGGATTCATTATGGTTTCTCCATATGGCATGGGCCTTGCTCCTGGGGACCTTAGTTGAAGAAATACGGCATAAGTAAACAAAACAAATGGAGAGCCATTTGGGTGATTTAGACAGTAACTAGAGTAGGAATTTAAACATATCGGTGGGGGGAGCTTCACCTTTAAAGATTTTGTGGAGCAGATAATATTTGAGCCTTGAAGTTAGAATGTGGACAAATAGGAAAAAGAAGCCATCTTAGAGCAGCATGAGTAAAGGTCCAAGGCATGAAAATATAAGCAGAAGTTTAGCAGCAGTAAAGGAAAGGTTCTGCCTAAATTTGATTTGGCATATATCTATGTATATGAGAACCTTAGCATTCAAGAGTTATTTACCAACCTATAGTTTATTCTCAAGCATTGATCTGATTTGATGACTTCCTAGGCTTCATAAGATGTAAAGTTACTGGGGCCGGCCTGGTGGCCGAGTGGTTAAGTTTGCACGCTCCACTGCAGCGGCCCAGTGTTTCGCCAGCTCGAGTCCTGGGCGAGGACATGGCACTGCTCATCAAACCATGCTGAGGCGGCATCCCATGTGCCAGAACTAGAAGGACCCACAGCTAAGAATATACAACTATGTTCTGGGAGGCTTTGGGGAGAAAAAGGAAAAAATAAAATAATTTTGAAAAAAAAAAAGATGTAAAATTACTTACAAAGGGATATATGTGGTAGAAAGATAAGACATAGTGAATATTATATGACTGCAGTGTTACTTTCATATATTTTTTCCTGTAAAAGACTAATTAAAAGGGGGCTGGAAGAGTCAACAAGAAACAACCATAAGGTAAATCATTAAAAAATATCTCCAATATAGGGACCAGCCCAGTGGCACAGCTGGTGAGTTCACACATTCTGCTTTGGCAGCCTGAGGTTCGCCGGTTCAGATCCCGGGTGCAGACCTACACACTGCTTGTGAAGCCATGCTGTGGCAGGCATCCCACATATAAAGTAGAGGAAGATGGGCATGGATGTTAGCTCAGGGCCAGTCTTCCTCAGCAAAAAGAGGAGGATTTGTGGCAGATGTTAGCTTAGGGCTAATCATCTTCAAAAAACAAAAAAGATATTGCCAATATAAATTTTCCCAATTAGTGGATTCAGTTGATTAATAAGCTCTCTTGTAAATGCAGATAAGGATTCATGTGGTATTTAGGAATCTTAGACTTGTTGCTTTTTAAATGATGCTGTTCCTGCTTTTGCCACTCCTTGTGCCTAAGATTCTCCTAAAATTCTTAGCCCTATATCAGATACATCGTCTTTTTGAAAACAGAAAATAACTATTAAAAATTTCCCTAAAGGTTACATTTTTATTCCTTGTAGGTTACATTTGTAGTTCAATTATTAAGATTGCTTTAGAGCTTTTCCAATTCTGCCCAGTACTCACAGAACTCAAAGATAAGCTTTTGCTAGGATTCTGCTGAGTGCAGATCATAAATGTAATAAAGGGTTAAGTTTGAAAGCTCTAACTTACCAGGTTAGCCAATAAACTGAGCAAATCATTTTATTCCCCCAACTGACATCATAATTTATGCGTACTATGTGGCCTTGCTATGTAAGGCATAAGTGGCTAGGATATGATCTTCCAAGAGGGGGGAAAAACACTCTGTAAAGGCTGTAAAAAGAATTAGGACAGGATTTCATCTTTTCAAATGTAATCTGGTTGGGAAGTTGCATTATTTCTCTTTAGCATATGTGTCAACAATTATTTTCCTTCTTACCTCTTTCTGTCTTTTAGCTCAAGGAGAAATTGAAGCCATAGTTGTGCCTGTTTGCTTAGCATTCCTCTTGACAACCCTTTTGGGAGTATTGTTCTGCTTTAATAAACGAGACTTGTAAGTACCCTTATTCATATTTTTGCAGCTTTCCCCCAGCTTTATTGAGCTATAATTTACACGCAATAAAATTCATTCCTTTTAAGAGTACCGTTTGATGAATTTTTATAAATGTATACAGATGTGTAACTACTACCACAATCTAGATAGAGAACAGGACTATAACCCTAAAATGTTTCCTCATTCTGTTTTGTAGTCTATCCTCTCCCTCAACCCCTGGCCCCACGCAATCACTGATTTGCTGTCTGTGACTGTAGTTTTGCCTTTTCTAGGATTTCATATAAATAGAATCAAACAGCATGTAGTCTTTTGTGTGTGACATCTTTTGCTTAGAATATTTTTGAGATTCATCTGTGTTGTTGCATATACTAATATTTTTCTTTTTATTGCTGAAGAGTATTCTGTAGTGTAGCTGTATCAAAATTTATCCATACATCGGTTGTGGAAGTTCAGGTTGTTTCTTTCATTTTTGGCTATTATAAATTATGTTGCTATGAGCATTTGCATACAAATCATTGTGAGGGCATATGTTATTTATCTTGAGTAAATACCTAGTATTGGTGTTGCTGGGTCATATGGTTAAGTGCATACTTAACTTTATAAGAAACTGTTAAACTGTTCCTCAAAGTGGCTATACCATGTTGTGTTCCCAACAGCAAATGTGAGAGTTCCAGTTGTTCCATATCTTCACCAACACTTGGTACTTGTCAGGGTTTTTAATTTTAGCTGTTCTTTCTCATGGGTGATAGTGCTATCTCATTATGGCTTTAATGTCCATTTCCCTGGTAACTAGTAGGATCTTTTCATGTGCCACTTACGTATCTTCCTTTGTAATGTGTTGTTTGAAATCTTTAGACCATTTTTAAGTTGGGTTGTTTGTCTTGTTAATATTGAGCTGTAAGAGTTCTTTATTCTGGTTACAAAATATTTGTCAAATGTATATTTTGCAAATTCTGGTCTGTGGCTTGCATTTTTGTTTTCTTAACTGTGACTTGAGAAAAGCAAAAGTTTTTCATTTTGATGAAGTCCATTTTATTTGGGGTTTTTGTTTTTTTTTTTTTTTTCACTCAAAGTCCCATTGCAATTTATTCTAAGGAAATTTAAAGGAAAACAAACAAAACATGGAGTGGTTAGGATATATAATGTAGTCCCATATTCCCACATGCCATTTCCAACAATCATCTGGTAACCTGACCAACCTCAGTCTATAGTTTTTACATGATCCTGTTATTTCTGTTCTTGGTTGAAGTCAAAATTCATGAGATTATTCTAAAAATAAGATGAGACTTTGCAAGGTTGCTCAGGCTGGTTTTGAAATCACTCATCCTATGCATGTACTTTGTAATGCTTTTCCCATTGTTTTTAATAACTTCCTAGCTAATTGTTGGTGTTGAGGTTAAAACACCATAGTCTCTGCAGAAATTATTCATAAAATTTTCCTGGTCACTCAGTCTCACATTCAGCATTTTGCATTTTTCTGTTTTGTTTTTTTTTTTTATTAATGTTATGATAGATTACAACCTTGTGAGATTTCAGCTGTACATTTTTGTTAGTCATGTTGTGGGTACACCACTTCCCCCTTTGTGCCCTCCCCCCACCCCCCCTTTTCCCTGGTAACCACCGATCTGATCTCCTTATCAATATACTAACTTCCACCTATGAGTGGAGTCATACAGAGTTCGTCTTTCTCTGACTGGCTTATTTCGCTTAACATAATACCTTCGAGGTCCATCCACGTTGTTGTGAATGGGCCAATTTTGTCTTTTTTTATGGCTGAGTAGTATTTATTTGGGGTTTTTTTATGGTTCTTAGATTTTTATCTCCTGTTTAAGAAATCTTTGCTTAACCCAGTGTCAAAAATATGTTCTCATGTGTTTTCCTCTTGAAGTTTAATCATTTTAGCCTTATGTCTATGATCTATTTAGAATTTTTGTGCATGGTGTAAGATCAGGGTCAAAGTTCATTTTTTCCCATAGGTATAGGTAGCCATTCCAGCATCATTTATTGAAAAGACTTTTTCCTGTTGAATTCCCTTGATGCTTTTGCCAAAATCAATTGTCCATGTAAGTCTGGATCTATTTGTGAACTTCCAATACTGTTCCATTGATCCATATGTCTATTCATGCCAATACCACACAGTCTTGATTATCATAGCTCTGTATTAAGTTTTAAGAGCAGGTAGTGGAATTCCTCCAACATCTTCTTTTTCAAAATTATTTTGGCTAGGTTCTTTGTCTTTTCATATAAATTTTAATATCAGCTAATCAATTTTCTAAAAAAAATGTTAGAGTTTTGATTGAGATTTTATTGAATCTCTAAATCAGTTTAGGGGAAAAATCCAGTCTGAACATGAGTTCACATGTTCATGAGTCACGTGAGTCTTTTAGTCCATACACATGATATACTTACTGGGTTTTCTTTAATTTCCTTTTGCAATGTTGTGTAGTTTTCAGTGGATGGGCCTTGTATATCTTATGTCAAATTTATTCCTAAGTATTTTTTATACTATTGTAAATGGAATTTTAAAAAATTTTTATTTTCTAGCTGTTCATTGCTAGCGTATAGAAATGCAATCCATTTTTTTAGTATGTTGATCTTGTGTACTGAGACCTTGATAAATTCATTTACTCTAGTGGCTGTTTGGATTCCTTAGGATTTTCTACATATGCAATCATGTTGCCTGCAAGTGAAGATGGCTATTCCAATCTTTATGCTTTTAGTTCATTTACTTATTGTACTGGCTAAGACCTCTCCAGTACAATGTTGAATAGAAGTGGTAAGAGCCACATCTTTCCACTATTCCTGATTTTAGGGGGGAAGGCATTCAGTCTTTCACCATTGCATGTGATGTTAGCTGTAAATTGAGGAAGTTCTCTTGAATTTCTTTTTGCTGAGAGTTTTTATCATGAATCATTGTTGAATTTTGTCAAATACTTTTTCTGCATCTATTGAAATCATGATATTTCTCTTTTCTTCCATGAATGTGGTGAATTTTATTCATTGATTTTCAGATGTTAAACCATCCTTTCATTCCTCAGATTTTGCTGGATTCAGTGTGTTAATAATTTTTGCATCTATGTTCATGAGTGATATTAGTCAATACTTTTTTTTATGATGTCTTTGTCTAGTTTTGGAATCAGGGTAATACAGATTACCTCATAAAATGAATGGCCTCAGAAAATTAATTGGGACATGTTACCTCCTCTATTTTCTAGGAGAGTTTGTGTAGGATTGGTATTTTTCCTCTTTAAATGTTTGATAAAATTCACAGATGAAGCCATCAGGGCCTGCCATTTTTCTTTGTGGGAAGACTTTTAATTAAAAATTTACTTTCTTTATAAATATAGGGCTATTGAAGTTTTCTTTTTCAGTCTGTTTTGGTAATTTGTGTCTTTCAGAGAATTCACTCATTGCTTGGTTAGTTGTTCATCTGGGTTGTTAACTTGATTCCTTTTCATGTTATGTCCAGAGTTTATAGTTGTTCCCCCAGTAGCGTCAATCTGGTAGGATCTTATTACTCATCTTTATTTTTATATTTGAATTTATTCTTAGATTCCTCACTTCCTGTATACTTAATTTACACTTACAAACTTCTAACTTTGGGCTAGGAACTATATTAAGGTAAAATACTTATGTTGGCTTTTGATGATGGGGATATTCTAAATTAATTGGGTATTTTTAATATCATTAGCCTTTCTTCCTTGTAAAAAATGAAATTTATCTTATTTTAGCTGGTACCAATGTGAAAATGTATTTGTTATCTGGCTTCTTTCAGTTAGAAATTGAACATTTTTGCTTTTTCTATTGTTCTTGGGAGGAGGTGTACCACAACAGTTTGTGATGAAGTGGTTTTTATTATAGGATTTGTTTTCAGAGATATTTTTTAATTGAATACTGATAACTAGCTTTAGCCTTAACAATTTTTTAATTGAGGTAACGTTAGTTAATAACATATAAATTTCAGGTGTACATCATTATATTTCAATTTGTGTGTTGTTGTTTTTATCTTCTATTTACAAGTAAGATCATACAATATTTGACTTTCTCCCTGTGATTTATTTTGCTTAGCATAATACCCTCAAGGTTCATCCATGTTGTCGCAAATGGCAAGATTTCATCTTTTTGTTATGGCTGAGTAGTACTCCATTGTGTGTACATACCACATCTTCTTTATCCATTCATCCCTTGATGGGCACCTAGGTTGCTTCCAACTCTTGGCTACTGTGAATAATGTTGCAGTGAACATAGGGGTGCATGTATCTTTACATATTTGTGTTTTCATGTTCTGTAGATAAATACCCAGCAGTGGAATAGCTGGATCATAAGTAGTCCTATTCTTAATTTTTTTAAGAATCTCCATAGTTTTTTCCATAGTGGCTGCACCAGTTTGCACTCCCATCAGCAGTGTGTGAGAGTTCCCTTTTCTCCACATCCTCTCCAACACTTGTTATTTCTTGTCTTATTAATTATAACCACTATGGCAGGTGTGAGATGATATCTCATTGTAGTTTTGATTTTTGTTTCCCTAATAATTAGTGATGTTGAACATCTTTTCATGTGCCTTTGGCTGTCTGTATATCTTCTTTGGAAAAATGTCTGTTCAGGTCTTTTGCCCATTTTTTAATTCGGTTGTTTTTCTGTTGTTGAGATATGTGAGTTATTTATATATTTTGGATATTAACCCCTTATCAGATATATGGTTTGCAAATATCTTCTCCCACCTGGTAGGTTGTCTTTTCATTTTGTTTGTGGTTTCCTTCACTTTGCAGAAGCCTTTTAGTTTAATGTAGTCCCATTTGTTATTTTTTCTATTGTTTCAGTTGCCTGGTCAGACATGGTATTTGAAAATCTGCTGCTAAGACCTATTTCAAAGAGTGTACTGCCTATGTTTTCTTCTAGAAGTTTTATGGTTTCAGATCTTACATTCAAGTCTTTATTCCATTTTGAGTTCATTTTTGTGTATGGTGTAATAAGATAGTGGTCTACTTTCATTCTTTTGC